ACTTGTTGCTCTTAAAGATGTAAAAATCCACACCTGAAATAACAGCCTCATTCATCTGGTAAATTCCACAGTAGACATAAGGTTCAGAAACAAGTTTTCTATTACAGGTAAAGGAAAAAACCCTCTGTTCTTCCTGATGGGCAGAATCACAGTCTGTGGGACAGGACTCCCCTGTGCTTCTTCTTTGCTAGCAAAGTAATAAAACTTCATTTTCCTTTTTCTCAAAATTGTATTCTCATTATTGAATTGGCTTCAGGGACAAGGACTCAGCTTTCTGTAACAGTAAAACTTTTGAATCAGTGTTTCATCAGTCACCAGCTGGTTTAAGTAATCTCTTTGAGGAAATTCAGTTTCTTTTTGGTGAAGGCTCAGTTCTTTAAATTCTGGTTATTACTCCCCACCACCTCACCTGTTTCCAGATGCCACCTAAATATAGTGGGGGTAGAAAAGGATCTTACTGTCATAGGAACCTTCCTAAACTGATGGAGCTGGGGCGAATGTTTGGGACTGCTATGAAGAGCCATAATTTGAATCTGGATGTGTCTGTCTCCTGAACTTGAAAATACCTGTGTCTATAATACATATATCTTCTATTTCTACCTTTCATCTGACATGCAGAGCTGAGTATGGGGGGAATATCTACCCATGTGTCGCATAGGCATCTTATAAGCACTATGCCCAAATCTGGATTTAGTTCCCTCCTGTAAAGACACAAGTTACTCCTCTTACGTTACTGTCTTCATCTCTTTCATTCTTCATAAACTGAATTATAGTAATGAGCTGGTAAACTAGTTTTCTGGGTGAAAAAGCCCTGTTTTGTAGCACTTGCTCATTTCAATTATGTAAATATGTTACCATGGTTGATTTCAAGGTGCTGAGGGTTTTACAGGTGGTTCTAAAAAAACCTTCCTGAAAATTTAACACTTAGGTCTCATGAGCTACTACTATTGAGACAGAAAGATAGACCACCCATACAAGCCAGGAAAAGGGTCTTAGAGAAGAAAAGGAGGAAGAGAGAATTGGAAGTCAAGCTTCTGACTATATCTACTCCAAGGTACAAGGATAGTTCCTGAACAGCCCTAGACAAGACTGACCACAAAAGGTACTTCGTCTTCCACCACCAGACCCTCACCCCAACTCTTGTGCTGATTAAGCCTTAAAAATCACTTTTATCCAGATTTGCTAAAGAAAGCAAATTACAGAAAGTTGATTGGCTCCCTTTCTGGATCCTATATCCCACCAATCATCTATAGGGACAGATAAAGCCCATTAAAATGCCTAGACAACAGACACCTGTGGGCATCTCTCTCTTGGGACCCCCTCCCTCTTTGGGAGCTCTACTTCCTTTCTATTACTCTAATAAACCATGTTACTTTGCTCTCACCCTCATTTCCATGGATTTCAACATCAAATTCATGAGACAACTCACCTGACATTTACACTCCACACCATGTTACATCATGACAAGATTTCAGCATGAAGTAGTCTCTGTCTCACTCTCTATACAATCAACTTTCATGCCTTATCATTCTATTGTCTAAATACTCTCTACTTTCTCCCATCTTCTCCATTTTACTTGCCAACACTTTAAGCTAGACCTTTTTAAAAATTATTTTTTTTACTTCCATTATCTCCTGTCTCCAGTTTGTTCTTCACAAAGAGCAAAGGTAATTTCTAGAACACAAAGATGAACATGGCATTTCTATGAATAAAACCCTTCAATGATTCATCATTGCATTCAGGATAAAATTCAAACTCCTCTTCTAGGCCTTAATAAAACATGCACTCTCATATTATACTATGGTCCCATTGATTTATTATTCAAATGGCATCTCTTCCAGAAAGCTTTCCTGACTACCCTAATATTCAAATGTTATTTATCACAGTTTGCCTTGTAGCAGGGCCTTTTATAAAAAACAAAATTTATTGCAATAAGTTGGTAAATAAATTAAAATACCATAAGGATAAGAAGCAATCATAGTGGTTCCATTGTCCTCTGCATTTGTAGAAACAAATTTTGGAGTACTTGATTCTGGATTGTGTGTCACATACACAGAAATAAAATGGAATTACATAGGGAATGGTGTTTACCTGTACATTGAGGAAGTATGAGATATTGTCTTCAATACGATCAGGATATTATTCATGGGAACAAGATTTATCTTACTTGGTTTAAACATGCTCTGTCTTATCTGAAAAGGCAAAATGAGGACCAAAGGGAAAAGGGCACAAAGAAGCACAATCTCACATCCTAATAGTCACAGATTTGCAAACAAATTGTTGCAGGACAGGTAATAATAAATGTGTAGCATCACATTCTATAAAACATACACAAAATTGGGATTTAATAGTCAAAAATTAGAATTATAATAACTTTCTAACCACATCTCCAATGATCACCTTGTGTACTAAGAGCTTATATACTCCACTTGGGAGACCACTGAGACCGGAGTTTTTGATTAATATGCAGAACTTCTTAGGTAAACAGAGAACTCTGAGTTAAGGCTAAATGTTAAATGGATGGGTAGTACTAAGAAAGACTGGATCAGAGGGTTCCATTGCCAAAAGCTCAGTGTTTGTCCATGATGCCAATCCAATAATGAAGACATGGTTTTGAGAAAAAGGAAAAAAGAAGGTGTATTGGTGGGGAGGAGACAGGAAGATGGTATATTTATGGTTTGGGTAAATGGCAGGTATATATAGATATTTGGAGTTCAGGAAGAACATGTTTTTCCAAAAGATATATATTTAGGAATAAAGAACATAGAGAGATGATTAATTGAAACTTGTAGTTGAGTGAGATCATCAAAAGCAAAAGTATTTAAGAACCAACACTCTTAAAAGGCAAATGAAGCAGTTATTAGTCAAATGACACCGGCCATTTTTACCTATGTGATTTGGAGCAAGTTATTAACCTTTTTGAGTCTCAGTTTCCATATGGTTAAAGTGGAGGTAATAAGATTTTCCTACTTTGTTCAAAGGGTGGATGCATTACTAAAGATATTGCGATATTGCACAATTTGAGCTTAATTTTATTGTGGGAATAATGTAAATTAGAGGCAATGCATCATTGGTTCCATAAATCTGTGAACATGCAGAATATTTCCGCTTTAATGCTGCTTAGATTTTTCTCAATATTGGATCTAACACTTAACAGGATACTCCATTGTTGATTAAGATTGCAGCCTATCAAGATGATTATAGCTTCTTCATAGCTTTTATTTTCTAATCACTTCTGGCTTCCACTGTAAAGTTAATGATTTTATGGTACAGTTTTCATTACCATTAACACTTGATGAGCATTTGGATAACATTGTTTAAAATATTTAAAATAGTTTCAATAATAATCACCAAGATCATTCCTAGAAGTTCCAGGGCACACAAATTATAGAATACTGACAAACTATGAGAAGTATTCATATAGAAAGATATCAGATTAGAGGAATTCAGCACTCTCCTACTTCTCTGTGAGATTGAATCAAAACAACAGATGTGTAGCCACATGTTGAAGTAGGAGGGTCTTAGGAAAGCACTGGAGTGCAAAAGTAAGAGATTCAGTGACCAGGTGAAAATCAGAACTAGGGCTGGGGATATAGCTCAGTTGGTAGAGTGCTTGCCTTGCATGCACAGGCCCTGGCTTCAATCCCCAGCACCACAAAAAAGAAAAAAAAAGAAAGAAAGAAAGGAAGGAAGGAAGGAAGGAAGGAAGGAAGGAAGGAAGGAAGGAAGGAAAGAAAATCAGAACTACCAGTTATGAAAATAGTAATATAAACAGAGTACCCAAACACCAATCACCCAATGGTTCAGGAGGGGGAGGAAAAATGCCCCTTCAGTGATCTTCACAAGTCCAGAATCTGGCATCTGGCAAACATACAGGAGATCTGGATCTGTGAACTATTCTGGCACTACAGAAGAGGTGCTCTGTACTTCCCAGAATATTCATATGGTGCCATAATGAGAAGCCATCTTAAGAAGGGTCCCACTGCCTGAGCTTACTGCTTGGGGAATCAAAAGCCCCTGAATTTTTATTTTACTTTATTTTTTTGTGATGTTGGGTTATTTATTTTGTGCATCTGTGGCAATAAATAAGATCTCAGTGGTGATATGGATTTGACTGATCTCTGCAACTGTGCATGGCAAGACACCTGGAAAATGATAACCAAATCCCAGTGAAGGGTTGGGAGGGATGAGAGAGCTGGATATCTGGATTGGCAGATGCATCAAAGCCTAGAAAGGAAGGGGTAGGAGTATAGTACAGGGTACATATCCCCATCTGTTTACTCTGTCTCTTTTCCTTCCTCTCCCAGGGTCCTAGGCCCCTGGGATATGTTGGATGCCTTTGAAGCTAAAGGATGAAAGGCTGAAAAGATAGTTGGCTCTAAGTGACCAATATCAAATTATCTCTGTCAAAAATCCTATATCAAATGAAAAAGGTGAGGACAGAGGACATGCCTTTCTTGTTCCACTTTCCCTTAGAAGTGAGAATGACAAAGACCTCTTTCTCTAACTCCTTTTGAGGGTATGAAGTGGTAGGAAGGAGGGGAAAATTTGGGAGCCCTGCAGTGTCCCATAAGACCTCATATCCTATAGGCAAGGACTAAGATTAGGGATTATATAAATGCATTAGTGGAAAAGCTCTAAGCCAAGATTAACAAGCACAGCTGGGGTGAGATGCCTGGAATCTGACTGGGACCCTGGCAGTGAAAGCTGGAACTACTGAAAACCCAGTTTAAGTGTTTGGGACTCAAATTGAGGGTGCAAGGGGCCAAGATAACTGGATCCCAGGACGGGCAGTTTGGCAGTAAGAACAAAGGAAAGAGACTGGGACCAAGATGCCTAGATCCCTGGTAAGGATAGGACTGGAAGGAGAAATGAGGGCTGGGAGAACCAAGAAGACTGGGTTCCGGAATAGCAGCAAGTCAGAATTCCAGGATCTCTGTCCACCCTCCTCTCCTTTTTCCCTCTATGAGGCAAAGAAGAGGGAAGGAGGGGGCTGAAGAAGAAATCAAACCATGGATCTAGCCCCCAGGTAGCCACATGGATACATTCAGGGCCAGACAGACACAGGAATGATGGGGGGAAAGAGGAATTTAGTGCTGCATTGGCCCTGGAGGGGACTGGGAGGGGTCTGGAGGCTGAGGAGGAGGAGGAGTAGGGGTCGGTTGTGGTGTTGCGTGACTCTGTCCTTTGCGGTGGCCCCTTACACAGAGGAAGGCACAGCCTTCCTCGTCCTCTTCCTCACTCTCAGTGGAGCTCTCACCAAAGGCCTGAGTTTTCTCATAAATACAGCAGCATTTTGATGAACGGCGTCCCATGTGTTCATTTCATTGCCTACTGTGTCACTTGTCCATTCCACTTTTTTTTTTTTTTTTTGTGGCTTCCTTTTCCAAAGTTTGATAGTTAGGCCCCGGTTCTCGGGCTCGGTTGTCACAGTAACCATTGTCTCAGTGCCTGGTCTCGCTCAGCCTGGCCCCGACCTTGGCCAAAGCTAAGGCTGAGGAAAAGGAGGAGGGGAGGAAGGGGAATGACACACCCTTCCCTTTTTCTGTATCTCTGAGTTCTAAGAGAATCGGTATCCGATTCAGGGTAGTAGCAAGGATCCTCAGCCTCCGTTTTCCCCCCTTCTCCCTGAATTTTTAAATATCCTCTTCTCTTCACTGGCTTAATAAGCTCCTGTCCAAAGAGACAGATTGGGCTTAGGGAAATGGAACTACTGAAAACCCAGTTTAAGTGTTTGGCACTCAAATTGACTCTGCTGAGGAGGGACTGGGAGTGTAGCTCAGTAGTAGAGTGCTTGCATAGCACATGGGAGGCACTGGGTTTGATCCTCAGCACCGTGTAAAGATAAATAATAAAAAAAAGGTATGAAAAATCCGCTGAGGACTCTATTCAGTAGAAAGTGTGGTCTGTGAGGTAGAGAGAAGCAGAAAGCACTGTCATTTAAAATTGGCAGTTTCAGCCCATAGTGGTGGTGCATGCCTATAATTCCAGTGGCTCAGGATCCTGGGGCAGGAATATTGCAAATTCCAAACCAGCCTCAGCAATTTAGGGAGATTCTGTCTCAAGATTAAAAAAAAAAGGATCTGGATGTAACTCAGTGGTTAAGTGCCCCTGGATTCAATGCCTGGTACCAAAACAAAAAAAAACCCTTAAAATTGGCTATTTGTCCCCCTGTGGTGAGGAGTCAGACCAGCTATTTTTGGTGTGTGGATTTGAATGGGGGCTGAGTCCAGGAAGACCAAGGCTGGGACTGGCAGATCACTTGGTTCCTGTGGCTCCCCCCACTACCAGTGCAACTTGCATTGATTCAGTCAATTCCTTCATACTAGAAGGTATTTAGAGGATATGCTGCCAAGTCTCAGATATTTGTCATACCTCACAATGACTGAGGGTATAGGAGTGAAGGGGTGTTAAACTCATTGGTCCAAAGGCTCAGCAGGCAAGAGAGGGTTTGGCAGTCAGATCCTACTGTCATTGTTTCCCAATCCCTGAGAGGGTGTACAGAAGCCTCAAGTGAAAATATCACTGCCGTGAACAACTTTGCCTTAGCCTCTGTTAATAGGAAAGACAGTGAAAAGGCTCAGCCTACATACTATCCTATGTGGTTTGGCCTGTTTGGCTCCAGCTGAGAAGAAACACTCCTCATGGCAGCTGCAACATACTACTACCATCATACCTGAATGATTAAAAAATTGAGGTCCTAGAAAGAAGTGTCTTCATTTTAAATACTTTGGCAAGAGAAATTATTGACATTTTTGTTTTTGTTTTGTTTCATTTTCCCTCAATTTTTTCATACTTTTATCTAGTTTTATGTATTTTATATTCTTTAATTCACTTTCTTTCAGTTTTGTTTTTCTCAATTGTTTTTGCTTTTATTGATGCATTATAGTTACTGAACATAATAGTTTAGTTCATTTTGACATAATCATACATACATAAAATTTAATTTACTCCATTTCAGTCCCTGCTGCCACTCCCATCCCTCTCCTCCTCTCTCCACTATTCCCCTTACTTGACTCCTTTGTGTATATATACTGTAAGGGTCCGGTGAAGCGTCCACACAAGAGACTGGCTTCATGCAATTGGCAGGAGGGAGTTTATTGAACCAGCAAGCTGGGGCTCAAGGCCCACTCAGGAAGGGAGAGAAGCCCAGAGCCCAGAGCAGAGGTCAAGCAGAGCTTAAGTACACTTTTTGAGGAGGGCGGGGGGGCTTTGCATACATCAGAACAAATCATCTTGAGGCGCAGGAAAATTGAACAACAACTCTGAGACATGATTAGTACATTCATTGGTGGGAACAGGCTGAGCAGGGGTGATTGGTCACTTCTAAGTGGGGTACACATTCAAACTGATTGGTTTTAGGGCCTAAATAACTACATGACAACTACACAGAATCTCAGGTTATTAGACAACCAGTGGAAACAGTGGGGATATTTACTGGGCAGTTCCAGTATTGTCCTAACAGTTACAGGGATTACAGGTTCTGAGGGTAGCAGAGGAATTTTAACAATACCTAGTCTTTTACTTTTTAACCCAGGCTTTGCAGTTTAGAAACTTTACAATGCCCGGTCTTTTACACTTTAACTCAGGCTTTGCAGTTTAGAATCAGCTTAGAAATTTTTCCTTTACAATACTACATTTTCTTTATCCATTCATCTATTTATGGATGCTTGAACTGGTTACATATCTTGACATTGATGTAGCTATATTCCTAAGGTATGCTGATTTAAGTTCTTTTGAATATATACCAAGGAGTGGGATGGCTGGGTCACATGGTGTTTCCTTTCCTAGTTTGTTGAGAAATCTCCATACTGCTTTCCAGAGTGGTTGTATTTATTTGCAGTCCCACCAACAATATATGAGTGTACTTTTCCCCCCACATCCTCAGCAGCATTCATTATTATTTGTATTCTTGATCATTGTCATTCTGACTAGAATGGGATGAAATCTCAGTGCAGTTTTGATTTGCATTTCCCTGATTGCTAGCACTGTTAAACATTTCTTCATATATTTTTTGACCATTTGTTCTTCTTTTGAGAAATGTCTCTGTAGATCTTTTGCCCATTTATTAGTGTTGTTTTTGTCTTTCTGTTTTTATTTCTTCATCTTTTCCCTTATTCCCTTTTTAAAAATTTATTTTATTATTAATTTTATACTCGTTAATGTTTTAGTCCAGTCTACATTATCTCTGCCCCTTTCTTCTCTACAGTTAGTGGTGTTGTAGATGTTGTTTTTAATAGGTTTTATCAGAAATCTACATCTGGTTTACTTTTAAGATTGGATTAAAAAATAAGACTGTTTGTTGTCTTCAAGAAACTCATCTCACCAACAAAGACATACAAAGATCAAAAGTGAAAAGATGAAGAATGATATTCCAATCAAATGTAATCCAAAAGAAAGCAAGAATATCTATGCTTATACCTGAGAAAATAGACTCCAAGTCAAAATCAGTCATAAGAAACAAAGAGGGCCACTACATATGAATAAAAAGAACACTCCATCAAAATGATATGACAATTATAAATATATATGAATGAAACATCAGGGCACCCAATTTTATAAAACAAACCCTATAGTACATAAAGAGATAAATAGGGCCCTCTATAGTAACTGGATGACTTCAATACCCTGCTCAATGATATATGTCTATAATCCCAGCAGCTCCTGAGGCAGGAGGATCATGAGTTCAAAGCCAGTCTCAGCAACAGTGAGACACTAGGCAACTCAGTGAGTTCCTGTCTCTAAAATACAAAATAGGGCTGGGGATGTGGCTTAGTGGTTGAGTGTCCCTGAGTTCAGTCCCCGGTACCAAAAAAAAAAAAAAAAAAAAAAGAATTTTTTTCAGAGTACACCGTCTTTCATCAGCACACAGAATTTTTTAAAAATAAATCACATTTTAGGGCATACAGCAAATCTTAACAAATACGAAAATACTGAATTTCTTACATCCTATAAGAACATAGCAGAATAAAACTAGAAATCAAAAGCAAGAGAAATTGCAGGAATTATAGAAACACATGGAGTTTGAACAATATACTTTTGAATAATGAGCAGATCATTGATGAAATTGGGGGATAAATTTGAAAAGTTCTAGAATCAGTGAAAATGGAAACAAAATGCCAGAACCTGTGGGACACAGTGAAAGCAGTTACAAGAGAAAAGTTTATAGCTATAAGTGCCTACATTAGAAAAACAGTGAGATCTCAAATAAATAACCTAAAGCAGCACCTGAAGACCTTTAAAATCAAGAACAAACCAAACCTCAAATGAGTAGAAAAAATAAAATAACAAAGATCAGAGCAGAAATAAATCAAATAGAAACCAAAAGGACAATATAAAGGATAAATAAAAAAAAAGATTTTGTTTTTTGAAAAGATAAACAAGATTGAAACTTAACCAACTCACCAAAAGAATGAATGAAACCCCAAATATATAAAATTTGAGGTGAAAAGTGGATATTGGAACAGATCCCACTGAAATACAGAAGAATCATTAGGAATATTCTGAAAACATATATTCCAAAACTTAGAATATCTAAAAGAAATGGAAAAAATTCTAGACACATACAGGCAACCAGAATTCAGACAAAATCATTTCAAAACCCTAAATAGATCAGTAACAAGCAATGAGATTGAAGCAGTCATAAAAAGACTCCCTGCAATGAAGATTCCAGGACTAGACAAATTCACTGTTGTGTTTTATCAGACTTTTAAAAAATAACTAATACCAATGCTTCTCAAACTATTTCATAAAATAGAAAGTGAAGAAACTCTTCCAAGCTCATTAGAGGAAGACAATACTACCCTGTTATCAAAACCTAATGTGGAAAGAACACAAAAAAGAAAACTAGGGACTGATATCCTTCATGAACATAAATGTGAAAATCCTCCATACAATGTTGGCAAAATTAATTGAACATCCCATGCAGAAGATCATATACTGTGGATAAGTTGGTGGCATTCCACAGCTCATCAAAGAGGTAAAAGCCTTCTAGAATGACAATTATAAAACACTGAAGAATGAAATTGAAGAAGACACTAGAAAATGGAAAGAACTCCCATGGTCATGAGCTAAGAAAACTAGTATTGTTAAAATGGCTATATTACTGAAAGTAAGCTACAGATTCAGTAGAATCTCCCTCAAAATACCAATGACATTCTTCACAGAATTAGAAAAAATATCCAAAATATCATATAGAAACACAAAACCCCTGAATTGACAAAACAATCCCTAGCAAAAAGAACATTGCTCAAAACATTACAATATCCAGTTTCAAAACATACTACTGAGCTACTGTAATACAAACAACATGATA